CAACGCAGCCCTCCTGTGCTGCAGCTGCTGCTGCTGCCGCCCTGGCGCTGCTCAGGCCTGGTGCCGCAGCAGGCGCGTCTCACGTGAGGAAGGAGGCGGTGAAGTCTTCCCGGAAGATGGTCATCGCCAGGCACGTCTCCACCACCGCCTGCCCCACCTTGTCGTTCACCCGCTCCACCTCGCTGTCGCGCAGCCGCCCCAGGAAGACCTGCGGTGGGCGGCGGGTGGTGTGGAGTGTGACAGGGCGAGCGTGTGTATCAGCATGCGTCTGTGTGTGAGAGGAGGCAAGCGGCAGACGGCGCGTGGGGACCGCACCCGCAGCAGCAGCTTGTAGGTGCCCAGCGCCACGGCAAAGGCCATGTTGCCCAGGACGGCCAGGGAGAACTTGGAGGAGCTGAGGTAGACCATGGAAGGGAAGAACCTGTCGCGGAGGGGCGCGAGGGAGGCAAGGTCGAGGCGGCGGCGCCGGGTGGCGGCGGGGGGGTCGATCGGGAAGCCCGCGGGGCGCGAGGGCACGGCGCGGGCGGCCCGTACTGTGCCACCAGGCGGCCACTCACTGCTCGCGGGTGCTGAAGGCGTGCCACACCACCGCTGCGGCGCCCAGGAGGCTGAGCAGGATGTATCTCCGGCTCGACATCCAGCTCATGTTGACGATGTCTTGGCTCCAAATCGGCAGCGGCGCGGGGGTTGGGGACTCAGAAGGCCTGGGTGTGTTTCAGGCCGACATCTGGAGTCTCCTGCCTGCTTCCAGGCTGCTTGCAGCGCCTTGTGTGTGCAGCGGTCTACCTGCTCCACGACCGGGGCGGTTTGGGGCGGGTGGCGTTTCTGGGTGTCCTGCCTGTACGGCGGAGCTGGGTCACCCCTCAGGATTGGGGTGCGAAATGCATGGTCCCAAGCTGCACACGCAATCAGGCCAACTCGGACAGCTCAATTTGCATCCCAGGGGCCTCGGCAGCGCTCCCATCACCCTGCCGACAGTGGGCACGGCTGTTTGCGGGCGCCTCAGGGCCGGCTGACCGGCACATTGCAGCATCCACACATTGCAAGCACGCAAGCGGCATGACGGGCACATTGCAGCTGCAGCAGGCAGTGGCTCGGTCCGCTGCCAGGCAGCAGGCGCTCAAGCCGGCCCCAGCAGCGTGCAGCAGCTCCCAATGCCGACCGCCAGCCGCCAGCGGCGCGCCCCTGGCCAAGCGGCAGCGGCTGGGGGCCGCGGCGGCGCAACCGCGGCGGCAGCGGCAGCAGCTCTGGCAGCCCGGTGCAACGGCGGGCCGGCCGCGCCGCCTCCGCGCCGTGCGCACCCAGGCAGCCATGTTTGACGGGCTCAGCCGCTCGCTGGAGAAGGCCTGGGACACTGTGCGCAAGGACGGCAAGCTGAGCGCGGACAACATCAAGGAGCCGATGCGGGAGATCAGGCGGGTGGTGCACCCTGCGGTGGCGCCCTGTGGCGCCCTGTGGAGCACTCGTGTAGCACTCCCGCGCCTTCCCCCTGCGCCGGCGGCACGCCTTGGGCGCGCCGCACGGGGCGTGGCGCCTGCGCCGCACGGGGCGTGGCGCCTGCGCCGCACGGGGCGTGGCGCCTGCTGCCCTCGCGGCGCCACGTGCCGACTCCCCCCCTTGCCCCCTGTTGACGCCTTTGCATTCTTGTGATGTGTTGTTTCCTGCCCACCAGGCGCGCGCTGCTGGAGGCGGATGTGTCGCTGCCCGTGGTGCGCCGGTTTGTGAAGAAGGTGGAGGATGCGGCGCTGGGGGAGCGGGTGGTCAAGGGCCTGTCGCCAGACCAGAAGCTCACCAAGGTGCGCGGGCCACAGTCGCTTTTCGCGGGCGAGAGTCATTCTCCATTCTCCCTCCCGCCTCGCTCCCTCCCCTGTGGGCTTTGGGCGGTGCTGGCGCCCGGCTGTGGCTGCCACGAGCGGCGCGCGTGCCGTGCCGCGGCAGGGCGAGCGGCGGGTGCATCCCTCCCTCCCTGCTTCCCTCCCTTGGGACACCCCCTCCACCCGCACATCATGCCCCCACCCACCCAACCACCCAACCACACCACCACCGCTCCTCCCTGCCCCAGGTTGTGTACGAGGAGCTCAAGTCGCTGATGGGCGGAGAGCAGGCGGAGCTGGTGCAGCCCAAGTACGGGCCCTCGGTCATCCTCATGGCAGGGCTGCAGGTGGGGTGCAGGCTGGTGAAGGTCTTGGGCGGATGGGTGCAGGGAGGCAGGGAGGCAGGTCGGTTGTGCAGCGCTGGAAAGCATGACAACTGGCGGCCCTTTGCTGCTCGCTCCCGCCGCTGGCGCCTGCCTGCCTCGTGCCCGCGCCGCCGCCCACCGCCGCATGCCGCGCCGGTCCCTGGGCTGCGCGCAGGGCACGGGCAAGACCACGGCCGCCGGGAAGCTGGCTCTGTACCTGAAGAAGAAGGGGCTCAAGGTGCTGCTGGTGGCGACGGACGTGTACCGCCCAGGTGGGTGGGCTGTACCGCCTCGGCTGGTGGGTGGGTGGTGGGTAGATGTGTGGGTGGGCCGGCCCCGCCGGAGCTCACGCCTGCTTGCTACCGAAAGGGCTGCCTCACCAGTCTATTGTGGCTAGGCTCTGTCCATGTTTTGCCCATGCCAATGCAAGCGAGCTCTCTCCACCCCTGCACCTGCCCAACAACCGCCACTCCCCTTGCCGCTGCCCCAACACCTGCTCTGGCCCTGGCCCCCTTCCGCCACGCCCGCAGCCGCCATCGACCAGCTGGTCACCCTGGGGGGCAAGATCGAGGTGCCGGTGTTTGAGCTGGGCACGCAGGTGGCGCCGCCTGAGATTGCGCGGTGAGCGGGAGCAGGCGGATGGGATGGTTGCCGGCGCGGGGCAGGGAGGGTTGCTGGCGCGGGGAGGGTTGCCAGCGCGGGGTGCCAAGGGCGGCACCTGGATGGCAGGCCATGGGAGCGGGCTGTGAGCAGCCTGACCATCCACGGCACAGCCGCGTATGGCGGATAGGATGGGCTGGGAGGAGCCGCCTTGCGGCTGGCTTGCAGCTGGCTTGCAGCTGGCATGCACAGCGGGATGGGCATCTCTCTCACTCAACCCTCCCTCCTAACTTTCCCCCCCTGCCTCCTCCGCTCGCTGCATGGCCTCCGGCGTGGCGCAGGCAGGGGCTGGAGAAGGCAAAGGCGGAGGAGTACGATGCTGTGATTGTGGACACCGCTGGGCGGCTGCAGATTGACGACAGGCTGATGGCGGAGCTGCGTGAGGTGAGGCGGGCGCGCGTGCGGTGGGGTGAGGTGGCGGAGACGGGACAGGGGCGTGGGGCTATGAGGAGGAAGCCGCGGCTCACAACTGCGCGGGCAAAGCGCCGCCACACGCTGCGTGCACGCATCATGTTCAACCCCCCCACATACCTACACCACACACTCTCTCTCTCTCTCACACGCACATGCACTGCCAGCCACGCCCACGCTCACCGCCCGCCGCCCTCCACCCTCCTCCGCCTCACCCCGCCTCCCCCGCAGACCAAGGAGGTGGTGCAGCCCACCGACACGCTGCTGGTGGTGGATGCGATGACGGGGCAGGAGGCGGCGGGCCTGGTCAAGGCCTTCAACGAGGCGGGTGAGTCACACACACACACACACACACGGTCGGCGGCATGGCACGCCTGTCGCCGTCGCTGGCATGGCTCTCGGCTGGCCGGCATTCCGGGCATGGCGCTCGGCTGGCCGGCGCTGGCGGGCGCCGGTGGGATGCGTGCGGCGGCCGGGGGCGCGGCGCCTCGCCCAGTGCCCCACCGTGCTCCCGACGGCTGCCAGGCATTCCTGCCTCGCCGACACGAGCACCCCACCCCTGCCACCCTCGCCCTGCAGTGGACATCACGGGCGCCGTCCTCACCAAGATGGACGGCGACAGCCGGGGAGGCGCCGCGCTGAGCATCAAGGAGGCGAGTGCTCGTGGGGGTGCCCTGGGGGGCGGGCTGCTGCTGCCTGCCTGGGCCGCCGGCTGCCCGCATTGTTCCTGTGCGTGCGGGGGGTGATGCTGTGCGTGTGTGGGCGGATGGGTGTTGCCGCAGAGTTTTGTGTTTCAATGTTTTTGGCGACGACTGCTCTTCCCCGCCCTGGCGCTGCCTGCAGGTCAGCGGGCGGCCCATCAAGTTTGTGGGGACGGGGGAGAAGATGGAGGCACTGGAGCCTTTCTTCCCGGAGCGCATGGCCTCGCGCATTCTGGGTCAGTACCGCAGTACAAAGTGGTACCGTTGCCACGCTGTGCTGCTGTACCGACACTGCACAGCGACTTGGTGCACGCCGCTTTGCCGCGCTTTGCCACACCGCACCGCTGGCTGGCGCCCCGCATCGCGACGCGCCTGCCTGCCCGGCTCCGCCTGCCTCGCCGCGCCCTCCTCCCTCCCTCTTGCCGCTCGCCTCACCGCGCCGCCGCATCGCCGCGCACCGCAGGCATGGGCGACGTGGTGAGCCTGGTGGAGAAGGCCGAGGGGGCGATCCAGGCTGAGGAGGCGGCGGAGCTGACCAAGAAGATGATGACGGGTGGGTGGATATGGGTGGAGGCGTGGTTTTA